GATTTACACTAGTTCAGTTTTTTTTTATGTTTATTAATTGATGTTTATATCATATCTTATGTATTAAGTAAATGCTTAAAATATTTTATTTAGATGTTGGCAGTGGAGTGACCCCAAGCTCAATTATTCCAAGTAAGTCTACATATCAATGGTTGATCAGCCTCTCATATAAAGTAACTTAATAGACAATTTAAATAACTGTTAAATAAAATCGTTTACAGGATTAGTCCTTCAAGTGCTTTTTCATGTGGTTATTTCCCTCAGCGATTGTGGCATATTTTAGAGTGTCATTCTTCATTATTAACTACCCTATACCTGCTGAGGGACTAGTTGAAGGAAGTACTGCCTACCAGCAGCTAAAAGATGAAATATACTATGAGGTTAGTACCTTTACTTGCTGAAGCAATTTCCATGACCCTTTCCAAAATTAATTGTAAGACATAAATTTAAAGAAATCAGAGGAGAGCTACAAACAAGGAGCTCTATATTACCTCTCCTCAAAATATTTTGCAAAATCAATGACATTATTTGAAGGGGGAGGGGGGTGGTCTGGTTAAGAAAAAAAAGGTATCTTTCTTGATTGGAATTTTAGCGTTTTTAAAGGACCATAACTTAAAAAATAAAAAATTAAAATAAATCTGTTTTTAACTAATCCTCCATATCTTTGTATGTAGTTTTAATGTGTGTTTTTTCTGGGCCATATTCTAATGTAGTTTTTGAAATAATGGCCTTTAAATTTAGCATGTCTCAATAGCAAAATCAGCCTATTTCAAAAGCTTTTTGAAATCTCTCCAAATAGTTATGTGCTCCGATTATACAGTGAATTTGAGGAAGTAGACATAAATGTCTGATTCTAATATTATTATTTAAAACATAATGATAACTAAAGAAGCATCAATATTTCTCTCCAAAGATCGTACTCTTACTGTACATTGATACTACAAATAACAAATCTAATTACAATGTCAAGGTACAGTAAGTCAGTGTTACATGCTGGCTTAAGTATAAAATTAAGTTGCCTAGGCCTACGCTGCCTACTGCGCACAGCTACACATTGTTGTTTACTAGGCTAGGCTATGAAGGAGATGTATCTTCATCTCTAGTTTAGTGGTGTAAATTCTACTCTAGGTCCTCCGAATCAAGAGATGTATACTGTATTTTGTTTACTACTTAAATTTAACTTGTGATGTTCAAAACATATCTGCTTTACTTTATGAGTAAACCATAACCAGGGAGTTACAAGCAAGACCACTATCTCGATCATTGCATGCGAGAAATGGGAACTGGGGACCTAGAGATCTTCAAGGTTTAGCGTGCACACAGTGGCGACCAACAGATTAGCTGAGTTAGGCTGCTCTAATAATAATAAATAAATAAATATTTTATCAAATGTAATTATGATTGAGCTTTAGTATAATACAAAATTTGATAGATTTTGATTATAAATAACGTTGAACATAAATGGTAAATCAAGGAGCACTGTTTTTTGCTCTCCTTAGATTGTGTTGAGGAGCGTGAAGGAGCGCCGGCATAATCACGCTCCTCTTTAATGAAGGTCTGTTGTATCATCAAAACTTTCTGGAATGTAATGGAATGGGCCCAAAGTATAGACTATAAACTATATAGAAAAACACCCCCTTTTGTGATATAGAGATCCGACCTCCATAATGTTCAGTGGTTGTAAATAAGGCCTGTAAGTTGTTGCAGTTTGTTATCTTTGACGATATATGTAAAAAGAAAATCTATGGTGAAGTACTAGCAATAATGAAATATAATCATCCACCCCATCATAATTTTGACTAGTTAAGATCTGGTGGATGTCTTAGAGCTACTGTAAACAATGCAGGAGAAAATGTTACTCAAATTCTTTTATTCCAAATTCTATTAGACTTTTCATTGATCTCAACTAAAATATTAACCAGGTCAAGATGATTGGAAAAGTGGAATCCATAATTAATATCTTTTTTGCATGTATACAAGGGCCTTATGAATTGTTATGAAGCATTTTGTTTTTTGAGTATAATATTAATATAGCTACTATAATATTCTGATGAAAATTTGTTTTAATCATGCACTTTTTAATGTTTCCTGAATCCAAGTGTAATCTGAAAGTTAATTAAGGTTTACAAGATGACCGAGCATGTGAATGCTGATACAATATTTAAAGATAGTACTGTATATAGCTGGCTGCTGTTTGTCTTTCATGGCCATTACAAACCGTCACTTACACGTACATGTAAAAAAAATTAATTGGTCATAAAATTTAAAAACAATGAACCACTAAAATCCCTTGTAAATATATATTTTGGAGTTTCAATATTTTGCTGTTTCATTTTGTTGAAAATGTTTCATCGTGCTGTTTGATCTGTGGGTGATCGAGAGAAGGTTCTGAATTTAATTTGACCAAGCATGTTGCTGCATGTTACATTATCACTGTTCAAAGAGAAAGCTGCAGGTTGATAATGTTCTTTTTCCCACAGCTAGTTATGTGTAGCAGGCCCGTAGCCAGGTCATTTCAAAGGTGGGGTCGGGGGCGAAGCCCCTGAAGCCAGAGCAGTTTTTGTGTTTAATGGGTCTATATAATGTTATAAAAGCAGTTATGTTTTGAAAAAGATCTATGTAATAAAAGGTGGTAATATAATAAAATTGG